TTCGCGATAAAGGAAACTACCGAATTACCTTTGTCAGAAGAGGGGTTGACAATTTTAGTGTTGGTTTAAAAAGAAAAAGGGCAATTGGTAACGGCGGGAAGGTGGTGATTCTTAGAAAAAGACAAACAAAAACAGTAAGGAGGCCCACAAAAAGTGGAAAAGTCGGGAAAGATTACGGGAGCGAGATGACAAAAGGGAACAAAAGAGTAATCAGGGAAATACCGCGCGGGAGTAGGCGAAGGGGAAAGGAAAGGGCCAAAAAAACCAAAAAGTTCAAGCTATACTGGGGAGGAGACAGAAGAAAAAGTTAGTAACAAGTCGTGGGGAGAATTTAGCCCAAAGGGCTAGCGAGATAGAGTTGAAGTTTATTCTGTAGTTTGAAAAAATAAATTTGTGTATTCAGCGAGCGGGTTTCAAAGGCATGGTAGGAATTACGGGGCCTTGGTAGGCCGAAAAAGAGAGCCGTTGACGTTGACGGAAAGTAAAAAAAGGCATCTTCAACCTGTGATTTAGTAAAAAAGAATGAGCTTTTTAAAAAAGTAGGAGCAGGCATGTCAGGAAAGGGGAGGCCAGGGGGTTTGGGTTTTTTAGGAAGGGGGGAGAAGGGAAGGGGGCAGAACTTGTTCAGAAAGACAGTCAGTAGGAAGCGAACTGATTCTTACGCCCCGGGTAGAAATAAGAGCAGCCTCATAGTTCGAAAGAGGGTTTTTAAAAAAGGGAAGAACATTAAAAAAGTTGGGGGAAATATGACGCTTAATCCCGGGGTCCATAAATAAAAAAAAAGTTTTTTTTTTTCTCTTCTGTCTGTGTTTCTTTTCCCTTTTTTTTATTTCACCATTCCCCCTTTACGCCCTCTGTGCACTTGCTCCCCCTCAGGGGGGCACCTAGCTCTCTTCAAACTCCCCTTCCTTTGTCTTTGATGGCTCGTCCTCCTTTTTTTCCCCACTTCTCAACATAAACCTCTTCTATCTACTACTACTTCTATTAAAAAACTACTGATAAAATTAAGACACATGTGCGGCGTTGGTTGTCTTTTTTGTGGACGTTTCCCCTCCAGGGGGCGGATGGCGAAACTTTACGATCGGATCCCCGGGTTTTGCGCATGTGTTTAATTTCTCTTGTCGGTTTTATATCCATTCTTGTACTTATACTCCCCCACCCCTTTTTCCTGCCTATATATAGCCGTCCTGCTCCCTTCTGGTTAGTGGACTTTGCAATGGCCAAGTGGCCGAAACGTGTCGAAAGCTTCTCTCTTTTAGTGTGGGTTATTTGTGTATCGTTCCAGTCACGGTATTTCCTTTTTTGGTATTTATGGCCCCCCGCATTTAAGCTCTATTTCTCCCAACTTTTTTAATGTTCTTCCCTCTTTTAAACCCCTTTTCTTTTATGGGCTCCCTTATTGCTCCCGGCTCGAAAGAATCGCTTCGTTTCCCTAATGACTGTTTTTGCGAACAAGTTCTGCCCCCTTCCCTTCTCCCACCCCTGAAAACCAAACCCAAATGGGCACTCCCTTTTTTTTATCATGCCCTTCCTGCTTTAACAGTCATTCTTTTACTAAACACAGGTTGAAGATGCCTTCTTTTCTTTCCGTCAACGTCAACGGCTCTCTTTTCGGCTCTACCCCAGGGTCTCTGTAAACCCCCTCTCTACCATTGCCCTTTTACACTGCTGCCCCATACACAAATTCATTCTTCCAAACTACAAATAAAATTCACGTCTACAAGTTGCCCTTGGGCTAAATTCTCCCCCACTGACTGTGTTACTAACTTGTCTTCTGTCCCCACTCTCCCCCTATGAGCTTGAACTTCTTTGGTTTTGGCTTTCCTTTGCCCTTCGCCACTCCTCCCGTGGGGATTTTCCTGATTAGCCTTTTTTGATTCCTTTCGTCAGCTCGCCCAGTAAACTTCCTGCTTTTCACTTTTCGTGGCGTCTCCCCTTTTGTTTTTTTGTTAGTTGTTTTCTAAAATACCACCCTTCCCCCCGTTACAAATTGCCCTTTCTTTTCTTTAAAACCAACCTAACTTGTCATACTATCTTCTGACAAAGGGAATTCGAGTATTTTCCTTTTCCGAGGATTACCCCATAAAGTGATGTCTGCTCCTTGACTCAGACCTACATTTCCCCTTTGTTTCCAACCTCTTGATCCATCAAGGAACTTTCAAAAAAAAAACTAGGACTCTTTCCACCTCGCCTCCGACTTTTACCTTGTTAACGGTTTTTGTGCTCTGTCCCCCCTCTTCCCCATTTTTTTATGGCCCCTTTCCCAAAAATTAAACCTGTATTCCTCTTGTCCTATCATATCCTCTAGAGGGTTTTGTTCTTATTCTTTGCTTCTTGGTGGCCCAAAAACCCCCCACCCCTTTCTTGGACTTTTTCTCCTGCCACCCCCGTCACTCTCAAGCTTCTTTTAAAAAGGGTTTTGCTCCTCCCCCCTGTAAGATTTTCTTATTTTATGTTTACCCCCCTTTACAATGTCCTCTGAGATGTCCTTGATTTCCTTTTGAGAGAAGCCATGAAGGGGTTTTTCATCCTCCCCTATATCTGATGTCTTTCTTTATCTTTTAAACCGCTTTGTTTTGGGCTCAACTCCTTTTCCCCCCAAGGGAAATTTTTCTCAAACCCCGGGGTCGCTAGGGGCTCCCTTCTTTCCCGTCCTTGCTAATCTTTACATGGAATACTTCGAGACGTTCTTTTCCTCCCTCGATGTCACCCTTTACTTGGTCGTATGGGGATGACATCTTTGTCTGTGGCCTCAGACTCCCTCTCTCCAACCTTTTCTTTAAGCTCTTAATAAATTTTCCCCTTCCATTAAATTTTAAAAATGAATGGGAATCTAATTCCCGCTTCCTTTTCCCTTTATGTCCTGTCCCTGCTCAATACGGGTTTTTCGTTTTCCGTTTACCGAAAACCATGCCAGTGGCTGTACATTACTCTTTTCTATCTGCTTCCCTGTCAAGAAAAGTGTTTTACTCCCTCTTTCTCCATGCCCTCCGCTCTGTGATCCCAGTTCCTTCCGCGAAATTTCCCCTCTTCTAAATTTGTTTTTCCCCCTTTGGCTACCCTTCCATTTAAAAGACTTTGGCCCTCCCCGGCTAAACGCAATTTTTCTTCCCAAACTCTTACTCCTGGGGAATTTCTATCCTCGCCCTTCCCCCACATTTCCGGTCTTTCTAATCTCAAAAATTCTCTCCGTCCCTTAACATCAAAAATTTCCTTCCCCCAGATAACATTTTTGCACTAATCCGTTCTACCTTCCCCCCTCTCATATTTTTCCCGGTGTCTATTATTTCTTTTTCCCCCTTTTCCTCTTAATATTCGGAGAAACGGTGTCACTTTTGACAACTTTGGGAGCACAAAAATTTGTTGGGTTCCCCAAATAACAATGCTCTTTTCTGTCACGTCGGGTCTAGCCACTTTTTTGACTGGTCTTCTCTAAACTGTCTTCCTACCCCAATCGAAAAAGTCCCGCTAGTTAAAACCCCCAAACAAACTTTCCCTTTTTGAACCCTTTGTCCGGTTCGTCTCTGTTGATGCCTTCCTTTCCACACAGTTAAAAAGCTCCAAACTTCAGAACACCTTTACTTAACCTGACTCCCTTTTTTTTTTTTTTTTCTTTTTCTTTTTCCCCTCTTCCCCCCTTTTCCCTTTCCTTTTCCCTTGGGTTTTCTTTCTTCTTCTTCTCGTTTTCTGTTCCTTTTCATTTTTTTCCCCACTTCCCCCTTTCACGCCCCTTTTGCGCTTTTCTCCCCTCGTGGGTCCTAGCTCTCTTGTAGTGCTCCCCCCCTTTTATTTGACTGGCTCTTTCCCCCTTATTTTTCCCCTTCTACCAAATATAATACCTCTTTACTATACTACAATCTGATGAAATTAAGGTTTAAGGGGGGGGCGGTTGTCTTTGTTGTTGGACGTTTCGCCCCAGTGGCTGGCTGGATGGGGGGAAAAAGTCTACGATAGGGATGCCCGGGTGCCGCATGTGTCTTAATTTCTCTTGTCGGTATTATGTCCATTTTTGTATAAACCCATATATCTATATATACCACCCCCACTTTCCTGTTATATAGCCGTCCCGCTCCACTTCTGGGTTAGGTACTTTGTCAATGGTCCAAGTCGACCGAAAAGTCGTCGTAAGGCCCCTTTTTTGTGGGTATTTGTGTTTCGTTCCCTCACGGTATTTTTGCCTTTTTTTTTTTATTTGCCCCGGATTAGTTTAAACCGGGGAGGAAGAATTGGACCTGCCTGCATAGGCCGTAGGCTGCTCAGTGTTCCTTTTTTTTTTTTTTTCACAATGGCCGTTTTCCCCAAAGGGAGGGTGGCCCCAAAAAGAAAAAAATTTCCCTCATTCACTCCTTCACTGTTTGCCGAAGGGTGCTTTACACTAAGTTTTAAACTGCAACATTAAAACCCCCCCCTTCAGAGTGCAGGCATGTACTTCCCTCCCAGGACTCAGTCCGCCTGCCGGGTTTTCCCTTTAACCCCTTCATAAATGTTAAATTTTTCAACTCCAACAACACCAAGTATTAAAAACATTTTTCTCCATCCCCCCTACAAACCGCTCACCATCCGCTGGAAGTCCCAAACCCCCAGCACACAAAACCCCCCTTTACCCCCTCCCCAACTTTCCTAGGCCGACCCCCACCCGCCTTCCTTCCCTCAGACTGATACACCTTTAAGCATTCTGTTTCGCTTTCCCTTTTCCTCTACTGTCCGAACCACCTCAACAACCCTTCCTCAGCCCTCTGGACAACAGTTTTGGTAATCCCGCACCTCCTCCTAACTTCCAAACTACGAATTCTCTGCATTATATTCACACCACACGCTGGTGAGGGGTTCTTGTTCTAGGGAATTGGATCTGTGCTCCAGTTTCCTGAATCGAGCCTCAGTACCTTCCATCCCCCCCACAGGCACTATATAATCCTTGCGGGTTTAGCACGCCCCCATGATTACAATAATAACAAAACATGGAGACAAGATGTAAATAGTAGGTGAAGAAGAAACAAATATAGAGAAGGCCTTTATTTGTACTTTTACACAAGACTGGACTTTATGAAGTACACAGCAGATATGAGAGACAATGGCTTAAAACGTAGTCCACAGGGAGTGACGTCACATGCTTGAGTGTCACTTTCTTGTGTCAGGCTGTTCAGTCGCAAATAGGGTACTGCGGGACACCTACTAGCCCTATCCCATTGCTTTGTTTGTCAGTGTTGATGTTTTCGGCAGAGCAAAAAAAGAAGTAAGAGTCCAACCCAAAAGAGCCTAATGTAGACTAACTTAGATTTCGGGTTAAATATCAGGTTGGGTTAGGTTTGGTTTGCTTGGGTTAAGGTTTTTTTCGTTATCAATTTTTTTTTTTTCCAGCAGGCCCAAAATATAACTGTTTCCGTTGTATAACCCAGCTAAAGTAAAAAATTACCCCTCCCTCCATTTTTTTTTAAAATTTACGGCCTAAACAATAAAGCCTGTTGCAAAACACACATTATTTATTATACACTGTAAATTATCACCTAACTCCGCCTAGCACTTGCAGTAAATACTGACCCATTATGCCTCCTCACAGACAAGCTAAAGTGTCTCACCTGTGTCTCACTCGGTCAGGTGTTTCTTCCTGTTAGTCACAAGTGCTCCTTAAGAAAATTGGTCTCGCTTGTGCTTCAGATTATTTTAATACAGGAAAGAATGTAGCAAGCCGATGTTGCTCACTTAGTTGTGCCTCTGTGTTTCGCATTTAAAGCAATCTCTCCCTGTCTGCTTTGTCAAAAACTCTGAATATCTTGTACGTCGTAATCATGTCTCCCCTGGTTTCTCTCTTTTCTAAGGTCTTCGTGACTAGTTTCTTTTGTCTCTCCTTAAATTTGAATTTCCTTAGCTCAAATGGCATCAGGAAACACTTGTCTTGTTTCCTGACGAATTTTATCTAACCTCACCTTAGCGCCGACGGTGGCACAACATCGTCCTGACTTAGGTACTGGGGTTTTTGTTGCACTGTTCCACCTCATGTGTGCTGTATTTTGTACTCTACATGAGGAACAGTAACAAACGCACCATCCGTGTCATTGGCACCAATATCAAGCATCAGGGTACGACTTAGCGGTTCTTGGCACGCCTCGCCCAGCTCCTCCAGAATCTCGGTCACGCTGAAAAAGTTGACTAATGTAATTGAGTAACATAAGAGCACGAGGATCTTCACATGACATGCTTTCGTTGACTAGAAGAGAATGAGTATTATGAGAGTAATGTTGGCATGAGTGTGTGAGAGGGATGATAGCATGAATGTAAAGACAGAGTGAAGAAATGTGTAAGAGGAACACTAGCATAAATGAGTGTGAAAAAATAGTATGGAGGAAATAAACTATTATTGGTGTTGGTTTATTGTTATTATTATTTGTATTATTATTATTATATTATTGGTATTATTATTATCATTATACTCTATGAAGCGCTAAGCTCATAATAAGTTATACAACTTCTGCAGTAGAACTGGAAAACAAGCAAACAAACTGACAGATAAAACAGCGAACACAAACCAGAGGATGTAATCACTGGAGAAAGACACAATTAGCTAGCAACAATGCTAGACCACGGACACCTAGGATACTTCAGTTTAGGGAGTTTTTTTTTTTATGGGTTGTACGACTTGTGTCACATTTTATGGTGTGAGATTTTTACAAGATGGACTGTTAAGCCAGCGAAAAGCCTTCATCATATGATCAAAAGTTTCACTTATATAAATAAGGCTACCTTCAGACCTGTTCTATTTTTGCTGACAAGCAAAATACCACCATATATTGGACAAGAACGAACTCTACCTAACTCTTCTCAGACTCATGTATAACTTCCTAACAAGTAGAAGCATCATCTCCACCTTCATTTACAAGACGGCAGACTTATTCACAACAGTCAGAGTGCCACAGGGTGCCTGAGCCCTATTCTCTTTAACGTTTATGTCAATGACCTTCCCCAGCCTGAATACACAGGCACCATCATTATCCAATTTGCTGACAATGTTATCCATGTAGTATCATCCACCCCTGCATCTTGAAAAAAAAAACACGGAAGGTGATAGAAAAAAAATGAACATGGAATTACGAAGAACAGCCAACCGGAAGAAGAAATGGAGAATCAAAACCAATTGGGACAAGGTGCTCATCAGCACTATTGGATGTTATGCCTCAACAATTGAGAACAACGGAGGTATCTCCATCAGAGGTACACCTATCACTGTCAAAAACCCGAATAAGATCTTAGGCCACGAGATCGACAGATTACTCCATTCCACATCACACATCACCGAAAAGGTAAACTTAGCAAAAGCCCGCCGCACTCATCTATACAGGTTTAATCAGGCCCTCTTTCATATCACGTTGTAGGACACCAGATCAGCCCACCACCAGCCCCAGCAACCCGAACAACTTACGTTCTGCTGCAAAAATAAGGCAATAGCTAAACTGTACCTACTACCAATTCACTGTCATGCATAAATGCAACTTGTTTATATGTGTACTTGTATACTTGTATATATGTATACATGTGTGCCTCATCATATGAATATTATGAATATGAAATTATGCACACACCTTTATTAAATCAAATCTAATTTTTTTTATTGCTTTGCAAAACAAAAATCGAAAATTAAGCTTCTGTAGGTTAGACTGCTAAAATTTACTTAAGGTTCTAGGTTATTTTTGTTGCAAAATAAGAAACTTAACATGCAAAAAAATAAATAAAACCTTAGTTAACTTTTCCTTGAGAAGAAATGAAAAGGGACTACTAATCTTTAAGTGATGTGCAAAATAACAACAAAAATGAACAAGCCCCAATAGCGACCACCACCACCGGAGAGAGCCCAAAACTCTTACGTCTGGCCAAGTCTCCTGGACCTGTCGGATTGGTTGAAGAGGTTGGAGTAGAGGGTGAGGTTCCCGCGCGCCACGAGGGTGACCGTCAGTGAGTGCTTGGTCCAGAAGAGGTCAAGAAATTGTTGAATTGTCATGTCCCCATCCACCTCGAACCTCTCCCACGTCGTCCATTTCACTCCATTATACTGAGGACAAGATTGAGAATATACTAATAGGTACATACGTAATGCAGAGTAACAAATCCCTACTGCCTATATTGAGGCTATCTTCTGTGAAGTAAGGAGAAAAGGGAGAAGGGAAACAAGAATCAGGTTAAGTCACGGGTGTTCTGAAGTTTGGAGCATTTTACAATGTAATGGGAAAGGAAGGCATCTACAGAGACAAAGCCAGCACTAAGATTCATACAAGGAAAGTTGTGTATAAGGGAGGATTCAACCAGACGGCGACTGTGAAAGTTAGAAGTAGGGTCGCCGTCTAGTTGAATCCTCCCTTATTCACAACTTTCCTTGTATGAATCTTAGTCCTGGCTTTGTCTCTGTAGGTGCCTTCCTTTCCCATTACATTGTAAAATGCTCCAAACTTCACAACACCCGTGACTTAACCTGATTCTTTTTTCCCTTCTCCCTTTTTTCCTTTCCTCTTTTCTCTTCCTCCTTTGAGTTTTCTTTCTTCTGCCCTGGGCATTTGGTCCTTTATTATTATTTCTTCCCCTCTGTGTTCTTGTTCCTATCCTTTGTGGGCCCCTAGCTCCCTTGCAGTGCTCCTCTTTGACTCTACTACTACTACTACTAACTACTACTACTACTATCACTACCTCTACCACTACCTCTCTTCCTCCTTTCCTACTACCTTTCTTGTCCCATCCCTGTTTGCTGGCTTATATATACTCCTTCATTCTCTCCTTTTTGTTAGTGTGACTTTGTAATGGTCCAAGTAGGACCGAAACGTCGTCTTAGCTCCTCTCTCCTATGTGCGGGTTATTTGTGTATTGTTCCAGTCACGGTATTGTGCCTTTCTCTGTTATTTATACCTGTAATTCCTGTTCCAGCCAAGGAACAGCGATGAATATATTCGATCACTGCCAGAGAAAAAGCTTTCAGCTTTCACCCAAAAATGTCCAGTTTGGATAAACCACATTCAGGATGGAAATTTTTCTAGGTTTCCTTCACATGATAAAGATGCTGGTGTGGAAAAAAGAACAACACCATTTACAGGAACTGATTCTATATTTTAGAGGTTATTTTTCACCAAGGGAGGTCCCCCGTGGCGTGGTGGCTCAAGCTGTCGCTTCACACGGTGAGGTGTTCGGGTTCGATTCCCGGCAAGAGTAGAAACATTGGGCGTGTTTCTTTACACAGGTTGTCTGTGTTCCCCATTAGTAAAATGGGTACCTGGGAATTAGTCGACTGGTGTGGGTCGCATCCTGGGACAAAACTGACCTTATTTCCACGAAATACTCTGCATAACAGCTAGGCCTGTATACCTTGTACATGTACTTGTTGAAATAAAGATGTTATTATTATTATTATTATTATTATTATTATTATTATTATTATTATTATTATTATTATTACAAAGATGGATACGGAAACCCATTTATTTTTACTCTGGATTACACAGATAATAGTGATATAATGAACTGTAAATTAATGAAGGATCCGAATAGAACTCGAATCAAAGACGGTAGAAAAAAAATGTGGAAAAATAATGTCATGCTATATTAAAAAACTTGAGTGGTGTGTTTATAGGATGTTACCTCGTACTCTGGTGGAGGATCAGGTTGAGAGAGGACGAAGCAGGGAATGGCCATGTTGAAGGACATGTTCCTATAGAAACGGATGTGTTTATGTCCCTGAGCGACTTTGAGCAGTTCCAGTGAAACCAGACCTGCCACTAGCGCCGTGGAGGTGGCAATTGCTGGGACTATTTTTCCAGCAATCTTCTTGCTTTTGTGTTTGTCCGCGGGATCAATCTCATAGTTTTCCGCCCTCAGGTTTGACGCTGCCACGACAAAGTCCATGTGGAAATTGGTGTTGTCATCTTTTTCGAAAGTCAGCGGGGTAATCTTGAGATGCTGGAAGTGCTCCTTAGGTGCTATAGCGTCTTGAAGACTGGAGATATAGACCTTCTGGAAGAAACCACTCTCAATGCTGGCTTCGGCATCCTCATCATTGGGTTCGCTTCTGACTTGAGGAAGGTATTCAGGTATCTTAACTGCCGCTGCTAATTGAGAAATACGTAGGCGATCCCTGTCCTGAGGAATCCCATACACCTGTGCCCTAAGATTTGCCGCCGATACCACATAATCCAAATGAAGAGGATTTTCGGCATCGTACTTTAGTGGATGGGGGCACCGTTTGGATCCTGACCAGAAATGACTCCCAGTGCTTGTTACGTAGTTTGGTGGAAAGTATTCCAGCAGCTGTACAATCTGATTGCGGAAATTGGTCTCCCAGTGCCTGCGTGCCCAGGCTATACAGTCAGAGAAGTTATGTGGCGCATCATCTTCCAGCGAAGATTTTAAATTCCTTAGAATACTTTGGTAGTCGTAGTCGGACAGCTTACTGGATCGCTTCAGAAAATCGTTATCCTCCAGATACTGTCTGGTTATCTCAGGTGAATGACAGAACTCTCCCTCAAACATATCTCTGGCCCACTGGAGTGTGTGCTCGATGCAATTCGGGAAGCTTCTTAGTGTACACAGAGGAATATCTCCGTCCCTTGAGCTCAGATGAGCCGGAAAACGGTCTGTGAGGTGAGGAAGCACCACTTGCACACTGCCTTTGATGCCCAGCGTCCCAGATTCCAGCATAGGTTTCCGGTAGTACCAGCAACGGCGATCCATATACTGGCGAGCTTCTAAATTGTCCAGAGCGTTAGCAACAATGTCCAAGTTCTTATAAAACTCAGGGCTGTAGATATTTTCAGCTTCTGGACCGACACGGACTTGATGTGGAGTGATGTTAACCTCTGGATTCATCACAATGACTGCAGCTGCGGCTGTTGTAGCTTTGGATTTCTTGATGTCCCAGGGCCTAAAGAGGAACTGCCGATTGAGGTTACTCTTCTCGATGTGGTCCATGTCTGTGAGTGTGATGTTGCCGCCCATAGCCACACTCACGCCTATCATGGCCAAATTTTTTAGTAGTTCGCACCCGATAGCTCCAGCACCAACAACGAATAGCTTCAAGCCTCCGAGTTTGTCCTGGAGTTGGCGACCAAAGACGGCCACTTGAGCGTCGTAGCGGTTGTCTCGCGAGGAAACATCTTTAGGTGGAAACTGCAATGGGTCATCAGGTAGGCACTCCACAGCGTCGAAATACAACCACTGGAAGACTGGAGTGAACTTTCCCGAGCACGCCTTTATCACCTCTTGGGAAGCTATGCTTCCAATGACGGAGTTCATGGGTGCTAGAGTCCCGGACGCCACTTTGGAAAAAATCCTTAGAATGTTTTCATTTACGTCCTCTACCTTGGCTGGATTCGTATTGTTGACATCGTAAAAACACTCCAGGAACTTATTTGCATCTTCATCATTCCATGGGCGTGGAAGGGCTCCTGCCTTCTTCACGTATTGGTGTAGTGCCTGGAAGGCAATGTGAAGAACCTGTGAGCGCCCTGACTTGAGTTCGTCCACAACAACAAACGTAGGTGCAGCAAGGGATTCCTCTAATGACTTGAAATTAAACGTCTTAGGAACCTTGACCTGAGTCACAACTCCTCCTCCTTCATATTCTGAGAAGGATCTTGTGTCGCCTATAGCGAAGCTTGAAGGATTGAGCACCTGCACAAGCGAAAAAAATATGTTTATGTTTATCAGTGTCTGAATATCTAATAATTTGCAATACCTGTGCCAATTAACGTACAGCAGCTAAAATGTATAAACTATATGTAAATTTGTTGGCTTAATGCTATGTTTTTAGGAAATTAACATGTATAGTGATACAGCCATTATTATTCATACTATTATAACTATTATCCACTGATACCCCTAGCGATTTCTTAGCACCAATACACCAGTGGTTGCTTAATTACTGATACCAACATGGGTACATCATTGGTTCCTTAATCACTGATACATAAGATTGGTACATCAGTGGTTGCTTCATCACGTACACCCATCAACGGTATGCCAGTAGTTGCTTGATCACTGAACGGATCATAGTGTGACACTGATCCGTGCCAGGATATACTTCTATTTCCTTACTAACAAGACACCACCACCTTCACTCTCAATGACCTCCCCATCAGAATTATCAGCTCTCTGTTTTAATCAACCGTTTGCATAACCAGTGCCACACAGTGTATACTAGCTTTATTATGCACCCCGTATCCATCCTATGAGCAATAGGATGGGTATGTGGTGAGGTACATAATAGGTCCAGTGACTGGAGTCCACTTGGAGGGTGTTCGGGGGTCAACGCCCCCACGGCCCAGTCCTTGACCAGGCCTCCCGGTGTTTTTATAGCTAAGCAGATAACAGTGGCAATGAACTATTTACAAGTTCATAGTTTGGTAACTATCGTAAATAGTTGCTTATGCAGATATGAATTTAGTTTGTACGCATTCGTTAAGCTGTGCATATAACTGGGCAACAAGCAGTTAATGATTAAATTGTGCTTAAGCAGTATGAAAATATTTCTT